TCAACCCTTTTGGGCTTCAAGGTATCATAATAATCATTTCGATCGGTGACTTAAATTGAAATTACAATCCAGTGATGTCAGAAGATGCCACAATGTAACAAAGAGCCTTCCCTATCACAATCTAATTTTCTTACATGTTTTGTATACTCTCTATATGCTCTCAATAATGTCGCAGTATACTCGAAAGTCATGCTTTTCATCGCTTTTGGATTTTGAGTCGATTTAACTGATTCCGCTCTAATGTATATCCTGTCACTTTCTGCGGTTGAAATATTCACGACTTCAATTAGATGAAAGATATTATTAACTTCATTGAGTTTTTGCTCTAAGGTTTATATAACTTTCCTACTTATCGTTCCGAAACATGCAAAAGATATCAACAACATTTCTCAGATTTTTGTTCGTATTTCAATTTTTTCCTAAAAGTTTTATGAAATAAAAATGCTAAGCTTGCACGAAAACTCATTTCTTGTGATTTAAATAAAAATTTTGATAAAAAACCTATAAGGTTACGAATAAATTGTAAAATAACGCATGAAAGGAGATAAAAGGAAAATATATTAGCAAACAGATAAACAGGTAGTTAAGCAGATTGGCATACAACTTTTTATATTATTCCAGCGTACATTAGTAAATGCCCTTCTTCAGTAGGTTGAGAGTTGAAAAATAAAAAAAAAATAAAAAAATAAAAAAAATCGCTGTCATGGCAGCTATACGAAGTTAATTTTCAAGGAATTTCTATAAATTAAAATATTAGAAATTTTTAATGTAAAACCTACTCCCTCGTACCTACTTTAAATCGTTGCAATTTTTCAATTGCTTTTTTAACAAATTTTTGAAAGAAAGCCGTTAGTTTAAGGGAATAATTTTGTAAAATCTACTGAAAGGAAAATCGAAAAAAAAAAATGTAAACTCTTGCTTTTTGATATTGATTTCTTAATACGTTTCTTCGTATAGCCTTTTGAGTTACTTACCACGGCAACAAAAAGAAATAAAATATTCTTTAAACGGGACGTAGACAGCAACAGCAAGCATTCATCTATAACTGTCTTGTTCGAGCATATGTCATCTTGTACCCGATTTTTAACGGCCTTCCGCTTTCTTTTTGTCTTTTCTCCCATTTGATCCTTGCATGTATTTGTTAGTACATACATATGCACATACGCGTATTCACATGCTTGTGCTTTTCTTTATTCAACACTTTGACATTTTACTTTTTGTTTCAATTCCTTGGGAATTTCTTCGCCTTTTACTGCGTTATAAAACTCAACACTTAATTTCCTAGGCAATGTTTTTGTTGTTTTTGTGTTATCTTGGTTGTCTTCTCTTCTTTTTTTGTTTTTTTGTTTTTTTTTTTTTGTTTTTGCCGTTGTTATTTGCTTGCTTGATTGTGTTTAGTTTTTTGACAGTTTTATGTTGAGTATAGTTCAAACTGTCATGTGAATGATGGCGTTCTGTAATGGGATATGATGTGATACGGTGATGTTGGGGTATTTGATAGTAATTGTTGTTATTGTTCTTGTCGTTGTCGTTGTTGGCGGTTTGACACATTTATTGTTTATACATATCCGTTTTCTGTGGATAAAATATCTCAGCCATTGTTTTATGCGTTTTCTTGTGGTTTCCTTAATACTTACTCCGGTCCCCCTTCTTATACTCAGCTCGACGCGATGCCATTAGCTTGCCGATGATGTTGCTTATAAATCCCGCATATGTACACTTGTACTTGTGTGTGAGAGCATAAGAGTCTGTGACTCGAACAATAACTTGCACAATGGTGTGCTTATGTTTTATTATCACTTATCTTAAGTTTACTTTTATTTCTAAACTTCTATGGGAATTTTTTCTTCTATATCTTCTTTTGACTTTAAAGAAAAATTGTTACGTTTATGATGTACTGCAAAGTATATTTTGGGTTACGATCTTGTGCATATATATATATATATATATATATATATATATATATATTTCGACCTAAACCAAATTTCTACTGTATGGACGATTTTATATGCGATGCACTGGTGGCCGTTAAATAAATTATGTCATTCAGTTGTAATAAAAGCGATGCACTTTAAGTGTTATGTTAAACTTCTTAATGAAGATGAAGTTAAAATCAAACATATATAAGCGTTTTGTTCGATTTACATGTTAAACGAGAAAAATTTCATCCCTTATTACTTTGTTTACAGTTTTTTTATTTATATCATAAATTAAGAAAAAAAAAAAAAAAAAAATTTGATGTTCATCTCCCTCTTAAACCTCTCAATAGGTTAGGAAGTCAAATAACTCAATTTGTTAGGAAATCAAGGTTTTTTCTTATTCTTGGGCACAACAGTCGGCGTTTAGTTTTGAATAAAGCGAAACGCCTTGAGCATGCTTTGTAAATACTTATACAAGATCATGTATTCGTAACTCTTTCTTGTTGGTTAAAAGTATTTCATCTGTTATATAAGCAAACTCATCAACTTTTTTCATTTAAGTTTTTCACTATCTTCAGTAGCATACACATAAGTTCTGGATCAATAGTTAGTATGAATTTAAAGTTACCGTTTACTGGCTATTATGTCTGCTTTTAAATTCTACTATCGCCCGCCAGTTTAGACTATAACGTATATGACAAATTTCATTTTTTTTTTTTATTAATTTTAAATGTTGCGAATTTTAGAACAACATATAGCAGACGAATAGCCTATTGTTGCTACAGTTTTAGATCGCTGACTTCCGGGCTCCGTTGCAAGGCCGCCTCTTTTCTTCTAGGATTTTAGCGAACCAAAATTGTACAACTCAAGGACTATCTTAATTAAAATTTTTATTGTTTCCTTTATAAATGCAAATGTGTTTGTTTAGGGGTGTTCAAATTTTTTTTTTTTTTTTGTGTTTAATATCATAAGCATTAATTCACTTTCCTTCACAATTCGTATATTTTGCATTTTTATTTAAGGTCCAGGTATCTGTTACAATTTATTTTCTTCACTCGTTTACGTCATTCTTGCTACTTCTTATTCGAATTGTATTCCGTCCCTTATCTGTTCCAAGCAAAACGCTACTGTGCGGTATCTAGGGCTTCCGATATATTTTTTTTCCAAACTCCACCGAATAGTTGTATAAGATAAGTTGTATATCTTGTCGTTGCGAGAATAGTAATTGACGTAAGTTTGCTTGTATTGGTTGTCGGCTTAAGGAATCAGTCAGAAAACATGTCTGCTTTTATCAGTAACCGGAACAACAGACAAGTTATACAAAAGGTTTCTTATTCCTCACGAAAAGCATAACTGAAGCACGTCTGTCTCTATCGGCTGTCGATATGCGGAGCTGCGAATATCTACTTCTAACGATAGTTGAAGAAAGCAGTAAGACATCTTCTTTCGTCAAGAATCGAAAGAAGAAGCAGATGGACTTCCATGTTCACTTATCACAAGAAGAGACGGGCGAAAATATAACTGCATATTTCTATATATGTCAGGATGTTAGGTTTTGCCAGATTTGTTTTCCATTTCTGTTTTGTAACAGACTGATCCTTAGCGAAGATTGTCCTTTACCTATACTATCACCTGTTTTGCCCTTTCCCAATGCAAATTGGTACTTATAAGGCTTAATTTGTATCAAAACTACCATACTTCATGCCTCTCTTTATTTTACTATCAAGTTCACTCTCAAGACTAAAACTCTCATCATTGCATAATATGTTTTACATAAGTATGGAAGCAAAATGAGAAAAGAATGTAGCCGTTACATAACTTAGAATTTTGCGTTGACATGTTATGATGTCTTTGATGTGATATTGTTCGTGTTACAAAGGGAAGGACAAATTTCTTATATCCCTATCCCTCAGTGGCGGTTATAAAAATCTTGTTAAAATCAAAGCCATCTGTTAACTTTTGCGATAGGTTTATGGAACATACGAGCTTTCTTGAGAAAATTGGCCATGAATCTTTTGCACATAAAATTTACAATTTTTATATATATTTTTTATGTATAATGTTTTGTTGGTTTCTTTCGCGGAAAGGTCAAGGCTTTCGTTTTGTCCTACATATGTTGCTACCGTTCCTTTGGGTGTTTGTTTATTGTAAAAATTTTGCAACACTCGAAAACATAACACAAGGTTATTTTTGATTTTATGCACAGTACATAAGACGACAACAATAAAATAAAATTTTTCTTCGTTTCTCTGAAGGGATTGCTTTTGTATCACATACACATCCATAAACAACGAGTGGGTTATATTAGCATTATAGCAAAGGGAAAGCATTAGCAAAACAAAGAATAAATAACCAAAAAAAAAAAATGAATTTGAGGCTGAATTAAAGAACAGAAATTGTTACGCTTCTTTTGGTTATGTTATATGCTTCAAGGATATTTGTTTTTGTTTGTAAACATTTACTTTATTTGTTGAGATTAGGTTCGCTTGTTTTACAGTTTCTAATGAAATAAATGTAACTTGTTTGAAATAAATTCAAGGCTTATGAAAATATATGCTTTGAAAAAGCAATAATAAAAGAACAACTTTGTAGAATGTCGAGCTTCTATATGAAATTCTATCCTTTTACTTACGGTAGTGAAATTAATCCCTGCCACAGGTTTGCCAACTGCTTACTAATAACAATTTCAAAATTATGTTATCAGGTAAACGTAGCTCTCAATAAACTATTCTTCAAGTATTTCGCTGTTAATGTTTTCATATTACCTCAGAAATATGCATTCCTTCGATAGCATGAATAGCATCAGTTTATGCTGAAATCATTCATTGAAATATTTGCCTTCTAACGGCCTAATAAATTCGGAGAAATTACTTATACGTTTGTTGAAACGCAGTAGTAATGTTAATAATAAAGAGAACAGATTTAAATTGACATATTTAACTGTAAGTTAAACGTAAAAGCTTATCATCATTTAGAATATCTTTAAAAGTTGCATTATGTGACAATGACATGGGCGATGAGCTTAGTAACTTTTGTTGGATTTCACTATATATAAATTGTACTTCTTTTATTCTGTTATAGTATGGGTTTCCAATTGCAACATGGTCATGGCGTAGGTATGGCTCATGCACATTCCAGCGGTGATGGTCTAATGGCAAAATTAAAATTTAAAAAATCGAAATCAAATAGCGTTCCCGCTAAAGCAACGCTGGAAACCATTGTGACTGATGCAGGTCATCAGCATGGTCACGGTCATGGGGTTAATATAAATGTGCGTGCCGCGTTCATACATGTCTTAGGCGACATGTTGAACAGCGTGGGCGTTTTTGTGGCTGCATTGATTATCTATTTTCGGCCACAGTACGTTATAGCTGATCCCGTTTGCACATTTATATTTTCGATTATCGTTTTGTTTACCACATTTGCTATCATGAAAGACGCTCTATTGGTAAGTAAACAATACATAGAGAGACTCATTATTTAAATTTTGAATAAGCAACAACAATAAAGCACGAAGAGAAAAGAAATGAAACTCATTTATCATAATTTCATTTTACTGTTACGTTTATAACAAACAAACAAACAAACAAACAAACAAACAATTCATTTGTTTTATCTCTCTTTGCGGTTTCATAAGCTTGCATTTGAAGCGTAAAGCAGAAAAGCATTTAAACCCAAGAGACTTTTTTATCCATATCATAATTTCACATGCGTACATACACATATGAGTGAACTCTTGTCTCCGCGCTGTTATTATTATTATTATTATTATTTAACATAAAAAACAACAAGAAATATTATTGTCTGATTATGTTGTTAACAGTTGTGATTTTCTCCTTTTTTTGCTTTATTTTCTACCCTTCGTTTCTAAACAATGTGCGTATATTATTGTTGTGTATTGCACGTTCACCTACAACGATCCCATGATGCTGGTGGTTATGCCTGTCAACGCTCGTGGGTAAAAAATGATAAATGCATACCACCATCGTCGACTGGCTGGCTGGATGGCTGGCTGGTGGTTTGGTTCGCTGCATGACTGTGTCGGTCGGGTATTTTAATACCTATTAGGTTTTGATGGAGGGTACACCTAACTTTTTAGAGTATACGGAAATACTCAATGTTTTCAAGCGAATCGAGGGAGTAGAACGTGTTCATAACCTCCGTATTTGGGCTTTAAGCATTAACAGAGTCGCATTATCAGTACACTTGGCAATTGGTAAGTACATAAATAAAACAACATTCAAAGAACACTCGTCTACCAACGACACATGTACGTTCGTATATATAAAAGCTCGTTAATTACGGCCACTTTTTACAGCTTAAATGTTTGATATGAAATATGGTTAATTTCATTAGGAGAATGTGAGAAAATGAGCAAAGTGCATACTTGATAAGTTGGAAAAATTTGGAGGATGGCTTAAGTACGGAGTGCATCTAAAATGTTATTTATTTTGCTTAATTAAAACACTTCTTTTGGAGAAAAAAGTCCGTTAAGCTTGAAACTTTTAACAGGTGTGCCACTTTTTAACTCGCAAAAAAAATTCTATGGCATTTTGTAATCTTCTTGCAAACAGCAAAGAATGTATATGTCACCCCATCCAAAGCAAACAAGAATTTTAAAATTGCTTGTGTCGTATACTGTGTACCAGGTTAATAACAGTCTCAGCAATATGTGTAACAAGCTCCATCGTTTTCCTTGTATTTTGGGAAGATTTAGAACTTTGATCATTGATGAAAATGTTAACCAGAAGAAATCTTGATTCATGATAGATGGTCAACTAGTTTGAAAAATTTTATTGAATAAGAGACGAGCACTAAAATTTGAAAATATCTGATTATAACGGGATCAGACGATATGGAAGTGTTTAGTGATGGTTACGATTAGGTTTGCCTAAGAAATTTAAATTCACGAATCATTGCTTAAAATTAAAAACTTCCTTGCTTTTTATTGTCATCATATGATTGCCCCCTGCTGCATGCATAGAAACACTTAAAAGTAATACAAATTTCATGATCACAAAACCATTCCTTTACCGCATTGTTCAAGTACGTTTCCTACGAATGCGATAAATACATTGATTTTCATTACTTTAAAGGGATAATTAATTAAATAATATGCGGTTTATTACAATAAGAGATTAGTTATGTTTTTTTAAATAAATTACTCTGCTATGTATTAAATATGTCGCATAAGCATACTTTTGCGAAGGGCGGGCGTGTGCAAGACTCATAGTAGATACCTCGAAAGGTCCTTAGACGGCAGTTGGTTCGAAGTATTTTCAATCGGATATGAGCCGAAAGAAAAGACTAAGTTTGAATCCAGGAATTTGCCGAGAATTTCGAGAGAGTTCTGTGTTCTTCCATTTCTCTTCAGAAATATTTATCTATACATGAACTCTTTTTTTCCTTGCTTCTCCTTATATGATTTGTATCAGTTTTTTACTAATAATTAGTCTAAGATTTACTCGTAAAACTCTATTGAATTCGGCTTCCAATTTATTTTACTCGAGTGCCATGTGTAAGTTAATAAATATAAATTGATTTGTAAGAGATAAAAAAAAAAATATTTTTATTTAGTTGTACATATGTTTAAATCATGTGTCCAATGTAAATAAAATGTCGAATTTACTTTTTAATAAGTCTCTCATAAATGATGTACTCACGACTTCTCCACGTTGCCAACCCTCTATGAGATTTGAAAGGGAACGACTGATAAGTATGGCAAATAGATTCATAAAAATCATACAGTGTTTCGAAGATTCTGTGACTTTTCACTTTTGGACGCTCTTCGAATGTTGCCAAGGACAGTAGTTGATAAACTCGACAGGCTAGTGTGCAAAAATCGTATTTTCACAAGTCGCACCAAACGAGTTCCTGCGTAACCTTTTGCCAATGTGTTTAATACTCTTTATGGCTGTGTTCAGAGTCCTTGGCAGAAAATACAGTTAACGTCGATCTTATTTCTTTACAGAGGCCAAACATTTTTTACCGAGACTTTTTTAAATATAAAAATTGCAGAAAAGATAATTTTTTTTAGTTATTTAAATTTAAATATTTACCTATTTAATAATATCATTTAAAATATTAAATTATTTGTAGAACGACTTTAGTTTTTATTTATTAATTTTTTTTTTTTTTTTTTTTTTTTGGAAACGTTTGTGTTTGTATGCTTGAATCAAGTAATGGGCAGCCATTTATTACATGTACTTTTTCAAATGCAAACTCCAATGATTTTTCGTTTAAAGCTGTGTTATACCGAAGCTATCCCTTGGTTTTGACAAAGAAAAGCAACGTCAAGGTTACCATGAGAGTGTTCTCCAGGAAAATATTTAGAAAAAATGAATAAATATAAAATTCTTGTAATTTCTTGTTTTTTTTTTTTGTTTTTTCCTATGAATTCATAAGCTCTTAGTTGTTTGAGAATTTTTTTTATTTTTTCCTTTATTTTTTAATAAAAAAGAAAAGTACAAAACATTGGAAAGGCTGAAGAGTAAAAAATCGTCAAGAAGAAGAGACAGAACTATTTTTTGGTATTTTTTGCATAAAACTTTCTAAATATTTGAAAATTCAAATCTTATAAACGTAACAAAGAGAAGAAAAATTGAAAAGAAGAGGTAAAGAAAAAAAAAAAAAAAAAAAAAAAGAAGAAAATAGTCGAGAGTGAGAAGAAATGCAAAAAGATTCTTTTCCGAGTAATTTATGGTTGAAAGGAAGTTTTCGGCTAACCTCTCGTAGCACCGTGAATGCTAAAACGGAAATGGGAGAAAAAATAAAGAAGGAAGCGTAAAAGACAAGCCAGAGCCATAAAATTTAGTTGAAATGATAAATGCGTGCAAGTTGCAAAGACATTTCCAGTCAGGCGGAAAGGAAAAGTTACACGTTTTTTTTTTTATTTTTTGTAAACCATTTACTTCTTCTTTTTTTTTTCATCGCTTTGATTTTAAAACAGGTGAGAAAAATTAAATATAAAATTTAAAAGGTAAATATATAAAAACGAGTATTTGTTTTTTTTATTAGCTTGTTATTATCGCTTAGCTTAACATTAATAAAGCTTTCATTAAACCAATAAACTTCATAATAAGAGTGCATTTAATTTTTCTGCTTAATGTTTACTGGTGGTGGTCTGTTAATAATCATTATATTCATAATAAAAAAATGAAATAATAATACTATAGGTGGCATAGAAAGAAAATTGTTATCAACATAATTAACGAAATGCGACTTCTCCACCTCGGCATACGAACTTAGTGAAACATTTAGATTACTAACACACCACATCATCATCATCATCATCGTCATCATCATCATAATCATTTTTGTTAATGAACAACGCGTCTTGCTTGGGTTAAGCTCAGTTTTGGGGGCATAGAAAAGCAAAAAAAAAAAAAAAAGAAAAAAACTAAACAAACTGCAAAAAGCGTAGCATTATTTTAAATACAAAACTTTTTGAAATGAAAAACACTTTTATATGCAATTTTACCCATAGGGGTTCAGGTTTTTATTTAAATATCTACGCACACAAACAAACGTATTCGTAACCGGTACTTTTTAAATGCTATACACGAAATTAAAACAGAAACCTCTATAGCAACAAAAGTTGATGCATGAAAAAGAGTTCTTTAGAAAAAAATAGAAAAAAATAGAAAAAAAAAAACTAATCCATAACTGTTGGCAAATTTGTTAAGCTTTTAATGTTTTGTTGATAAGTTTTATATGCTAAGCCCAGACTCATGCTGGTTGTTTCCCCATCGCACGTGGTCGCTACTAAAAACGCAAGAAAAAAAAAAAAAAACAAAAAGTAGAAACACTACTGCAATTGGCAGCAAAGGGAAAGTTTATAAATTTAACTTGAGTTAATGCAAATTATGTTAATTTTGCATTGTTCGCCCTGGATGTGCTAGAGAAAGTGTTGACTTTCGAAATCGAAATAAGAGACAAACTATGAAAATCGTGAACATTTTTTTACATTAATTTTCGAAGCGTGTGAGAGCATAGCAACTTTGTCCTTCTGCACACATTACGGTTTTGTACGAACGCATATATAATGTAATATATATATATATACATATATATATATATATATATGCTGAAAGCAATCATAAGCGAACGAGTGGGGAATTTAAAATTTTGTCTGGAAAACCTTAATCACATTCTCTCCTTTCGTAGACATTCAATTTGTGTAAAAATTATATAAACATCTATTGGGACGTTGTTCTCGTTATTTTCCAAATGACGACCTTACAAGGATTGGTTGCATGCAGTTTAAGATGGTGTCGCCTCTCTATTGAAACACTATAATCAAGCTTGAGATTTAGTTGATGTCATGTTCGCCAAGTGTAAATAATTTGTGTTTTCATAGTGTTAAATATGCCAAGAAAAGATCAATTGTGGAAAACTTTACTTTCCTGTTTAATTCGGCGGAAAGTAATGTTGAATCGATTAACATTACAATATTCAAAAATAAATAATTATAGTGCAAACTAGGCGAACTCTTAACACAGATTTAAAAGCTTAATACCTATGGCGTTGCCATGTGGGGATAAAAGATAATGAGTTAATTTGACCCAACGGTGCGTTCATGATGTTGAATCGAAGAAACAAACCAAACAGTGTTATTGATTCGACATCTGTTACTTCCACTATTTGCATCTTAAAAAAGAAGCTAAAAAAGACGCAAAAAGGGAATTTCGATACACTATTATATGGGGATGGAGTGACTGATCTTTTTTGGATTATTGACTGTTATGTGCTATTAACAAAAAAAAAACTACTATTCTTGTTTTTGCAAATAGAGGAGTTTTTAATTTGTGTTGCATTATGCGCGTCTTTTCTGACCTATTTTGTCCAGTGGCAATGCGCAATCAAGGCCAGGAGACTATCAGAAAGTTTACCATAGGTATTGCGCAGACAGGACATGCCCATATCGAGCCCAATTTTGATACTGAAAGTAAAGTATATGTACATTTTATGAGAACTCTGAAGCTTCTTCCTGGATGCCGCAAACGTTGCAACAAAATGAAGATGCATGTATTCTTCGGCGGCTGAAATAAAAATCGTTATGTGCCAAAACGCATTGTATGATCTTCTTCAGCCTGCCGAGGCTGGACCGCCGGTTGTTAAACTCGCCGAGGAAACGCTAGTTGCACTGAAATTGAATTGAATTGAATTGGGCTAATCACTGAGCGATAACCGACATTTTATTCATCTTCCTGTCTG